AAAAAAAAAAAAAAAAAAAAAAAAAAAAAAAAAAAGAATTTTTTTTAGTTTTAAGGCCATTTTATTATATTTTTAAATGTCATTTTTTCAGCGAGCTTTTGTTTATTAGTTCAAGTAATTATTGAAGAGTTATAGGGACAGACGATCGGAAAAACTAAAGATAATATGTGCAAATAGATTTTAACCACAGACGCAGACTGTGATTGCGGAACGTACAAATAACAAGAAATTTATTAAAATGTTTTATAATATATACATCACTCTTTTCAGTAGTCTATAAATCATTGTCTACTGGTCATTAAATTAAATATAAATTATTCATGTTAATCCTTTAAACTATTCCGAAAAATATGTCTAAAAATGCATTGATACAAATCTAATGTAATAACTCTAAGAAATTCTTTAGTTGTGACAAATCATCTATTTTAAGTAAAATGATATGTTATAACTAACACAATTCATTAATAAACAGATAATAGTAAAAGGTTGTGTCACTTCTTGCACAAATTAATTAAGTTTAATATAAAAGGGCACAAAAACTGTCAATTCAACTCACTGATATTTGACTTTATGAACTTTCAACAAGTGTAAGAAGTGGCTCGCAAATTTTATAATTTTACAAAAAATCGAAGTATATTTATTTTCAACCTTACTTCCAACATCACTAAGGTAAACTCGTATTTCACAGAAGATTTATATGGTTTAAAGTTAAGTATTATGAATACATAAATTAAGTAGGGAACTAGAAAAATGAAATAATCTCTAGAATAAAATACTGTTTAAATAAATAAAAAAAAGAAAACTTTTGTACGTAGTTAACCAGTCTAGTTCAATCTTTGAGTGGGTTACCTGTATGGTAAATACAAATAAAGACTCTTGCGAAAATAAAGAGCCCACTTGTAGTTCCTATACTACTCAAGGTATTTATTGACACGACCCACAGTCAGCACAACCTTAGATAACTACTGGTACAAATGACGTTATTGATAATTTGTGTGTGATAATTAATTACAATAATTTCTATTTCAAACTATTATTATTCTTTTCTTATAGTGCAACTGTTTAATGATATATTAACATGAAATACAGAAATCATTTCAGACAAATAAAATATATAAATCATTTTAACATTTTATAAATAACATCAACATATTTTTTAGAAATAAGATTAGGGTTGATACAATACATTTCTACGATATGTATAATAAATTTCTACGATCACTTTAAACCGTATAATATGAATTATACTTTTGATCATTTTCAAGCCTAAAATTATGGCGGTGTAGCGTCCTCTTAATTATTAATATTAGAATAAAAGAGATGACAAAAATAATTTATAGATTTCTTTTCGAAAGAAAGGATTTTAAAGGTGACTATTAATTTATTTATGATTGAATTGTGTATATTATAATATAACTAAACAGTATGAGTTTGTTGACTATTTCTCTTAAATGTTTATAAAAAATTTTTGTTTGACAAGGATCATGTCCTTCTAAGAATATAATGTATAAATATTCCATGTTATGGCAGTGATGAGTATATTACGACAGTATATACATTTAGATCATATACATATATCATTTGTTTAGAACTGGTCTAAACAATAAAATACTTAGTTTTTCACTCGTAAAAATCGATATTATTTAAACGGTTAGAGTAGTTTAAAATGTGTTAGAATACACGTAAATGTATATTCAAATAAATTATTTGTTACTGCGTAATAAAAACATTTTTTACAGATACTCACATCAAATATTAAAATTTTAATACATACATCTCTAATATTTTTTAAAAATAAAATCGTTTAATAAGAGTAAATAAATGTACATAAAAATTCAACATAATATATAATATTATTTTCGGTAAATTCTAGTAAACTAGGATTTAATAATTATTAAATTAAATTTTTCCATATTAGGTGTTCATAGACCTTGTAAAATTTTTGTTAAAATATGTAGTTTTCATTCGTTATTTACTAATCATAAAATATAATCTAATACAATGTATGTAATTTTTGTAATGTTTAAAATACATTTCACGAAAAAAAAATGCTATAATGTGTTTCAATATATCATTAACATACTATACATGCAAACATACTATATTTATTTTATTTATTATTAGAAGTATTTCTTGTTTGCCAATAAGCTAAGATTTTACTTCAAGTCCTTATAATAACTGTTTTACAGTCAATCTTATCAAATCTTATAGTACATTTTTTGAGACTTAATACAGCTATGGTAAGTAATTTTTTTTTACATATATTATTATTATTATATAATTTAAGGATATTAAATAGTTACATTATTCTCTAATCTTATTATAACGGCCCTAGCTAGGCAAATCCTATTAAATGATTAATTTTAAAAATGATTATTCAAAAATTGTCAATTCTACTGAAGTAGTTAAAGTATATCTTTGTTAATTTGTTAGGAAAAATTATGCTTGTTGTTATTTACTTTATACAGATTAATCTGATTTTGACAATTATTGATATTGCTTTAAAATTTTAAAATTTGTTTTAGAAATTCCATATTTTATCAATATTTTTTGTTATGTGCATTCCAATATACTTGGAAGGTAAGTATCTCTCAACGATATAAAGTGAGATACGTTTATCAGAGCCCACTAAATTATTCGCAAAATAAACATAAAATGGAAAAAATATATTTTAATTTTTTTAGATATAAACAGAGTGAATATTTAGTTATAACTCACGCGATGTCTTTAAAAATATAAAACACAATACATTTTATTTTTTAAAAACTTGAACATGTGCGTGTTTTTTGTTTTATAAATTTTCATCAGAATAATTGTAGTAGGTAATAAAAAAAAGTGATATTTTTTGGACATTATTAAAATACATGGTTTTGGTAACACAAAATTGTCCAAAAATATTTAATAAACAACAAAAAAGGTTAATAAAATTAAAATATGCTAAATTGTTCCCTAAAAAATAATAGCCCTTATTGTTGTTAAATCCTGCAGGTGACCTTGTATTTGGATAACGTAAACAACATTATATTTTGACAATGTGTTGAAATCAGATTTATAATAATAATTATAATTTGCCGCTTAAGTCTGTCCCTTTCTGCCACCTCCACGAGGAGGAATTTATTAGTGATTTCCCTCATTTTTTATTATTTTGTCCTGCTCTAAATTTCAATAGGTTCTTATATTTCCTTTGACCAAAATTTGCGTTGTCGCCACAATTATCGAGTTAGCGATTCAACACGAATAAAATTTTACGGTGTTATTGCCTTCTGTGTATCATTTTAGTCTCCTATTGGTTTGACCGACGGGAAATAATCGGCTCTTATTATTGGTTTTTTTGAATTGACGCCAATGTGATACGCGAGAAGAGTGTTTATACAACCGTTTGTTAATGCATATCTGTCCGGCACACATGCGGTTGTAATTAGTGTAGATCTGTCGTGTTATATATGCCACTGCACTTACATAAATATTAATCAATAAATATTGAGAATCATTATTTTATTGTTTAAAGATTATACAGTCCATTTAGAATAAGTATGATATTTAAAATGAATATGTGATTTGTTAATTAATGTGCAATTTTAAGTTCATTTATTATTTCCTTTGTGCTTGTTTTTAACCGAAATATTATCTTCTTGTTATTAGTTATACATACATTGTTTTTTGATCTACTATATTATAAGGCTTAATTATCAAATCTTATTTTTTCATTCCACAAAGGCATGGTCATACTATATATTATTTAAAACCAAAAGGTTATAAAATCTCAAATTGCTTATACTAAAGGAAAAATATAGCTGGAATTGCACAAATTTCATTAATATTAATCTAAAAATTTATGAATTTTAGTTTTAAGTCTTGTAACGTCACAAATTCGAAGGTGGACCGTTTATGATTTTTTGTTATGTCTACTTATTTATTTTATCGCGTGAAAGAACCTTTTTCTGACACAGCGGTGTCAACCACTTATTTTGCCGCTGACCGCTAAATAAGTCGATAAAAGAGAAATATAATTAAAATTGAATTGTTTATCAATATTGATCCCTTCCAAAAAGACTGGCCGTTATCGATTCAAAATCGCCGTTAGATCGGTGTTGGCTCTTCTCCTTTCTTTCTTCTGTCATTGACCGTGCTAGTGTGCACACGTTTATTGTTGGTCATTTTTTTTCAATGATGGAGTAGAGCCGCCAACGGCGAACGGCCAGGTCTTTTCGACGAAGCATCCAGACCATCGGATGGGTCTCTTCGGAGACCGGGTATCGTTTTCTTTTATATATTATATTTATGTAATGAGCTATATTTTATTAATTATTTTATTTCATTTTTATTTTATCGTAAATTAACTTAATTTTGTTTATGTGTAGAGAGCACGTGTTTCCCTTTTCTTCTAGCCAACGCTAAGGAGCGAGTGTCCAGACCGCTCCTAGTGTTCTTCATTAATTTCCCATTAACATTAACGGATGTTTTCCAATACTGTCCGTGATGTTTGTAATATTATTTGTTTTTTTTTGTTTAAATATTTTATTTTATTTTATTTGATGCATTCGCATTTTTTTCTGTGTTTAACTTAATTTTCTTTTTTTATAACAATAAAATTAAATTTCCTTATTAATTTCAAGTGTAATATTTATTTTATTGCACGAGTAACTTAATTACTCGCGTGTATTTTATCCCTATTCCTTAATTTAGACACGGGCTACGGTATGTTTTACATATCAACCACATACGACTTTGATTGTCATAATTGTGTTTAAAAAACCATGAGGTATTATAGTAATTTATAAATATAATGACATATTAACTTAGATTATACTTTTAATTAACTTTTAATTAAATTCCACCTATAGTCCGGTAAATATCTGATAGGTGTGACACCACACCTAGATAGTGGCGATCCTTGCTACTATAGCTAGTCGTTATGCAAGTGGCAAACAATGTTGTTGTTACAATATAAAAGCCCACTTGCAGTCTAGATATAAAAATTTTGTGTTATGTATAACAATGAAAACTTTAAATATGTGAATAACATAGTGAATAAGTTTAATTAATAATGCAATTATGAAACCATATTTTTTGCTATTTTACAGTGTGTTTCTGTGTCATAATAAAATCTCTTGAAAGTTCTTCAGATGGTAATTATGATAAGCTAAAACTCTTTTTAGACGCTAATATTTTTGTGTTAATGGACGACATTATTAAAATTGAGCCATTTGCATTTATTAAGTGTCACAACTCATTTTTAGGAAACTATTCTATTTGAAAGTCATAACAAAGACAACTAGAAGAATTTAAAGGAATTTATTTACAGCATAGTAAAAAAAAACTGTCAAAGATTTTTTGCATTAAAAATTATGTAAATTATTTTGGTGTATTTAATTTTGACTTATTATTCAAATTCATTACAAAATTCAATTTTAATTTTTTTAAATAATGCATATCAGTAATATACATCAGTGTATATTAACTATATTTAGGTATCGTTTTTTTAATGAGTTATGACTATTTTTAGAATATTAAAATGAAGCCAAATACGGTTTATTCTTAAGAAAGCTTTTTAACACGCTTTTATTAGTTTCACATGTATGTTTGTTATTTGTAACACTCTACGCACTACGTGTTATTATTCTCGGGTATCCCGTCGTCTATGACCTTGAGACTAGATTGTTGTAACACATTCATCCCACCATGCTCACCACACACCAGCAACACTATTACTGTATAAATTTATATTATTGGTTTTCGTACCTGTACACGCGGGCGTATCATCAATATTATATACAGAGTGATTTTTTTATCATAACCCACTCAATTACTTACAGAATAATAATAATTTAAGCATTTTTTTTTATTATTATCTTTAGTTACACATTATTCTTGAATTATTAACTATGTAATACTTTTTAAGTTCATCCCTTATGCCTGGTAAGGGTGTCAACTTTGTTTTTTTAAATGGTAACACATATTTTTAATTTAATAAAATGTTTGAGTTTTTAATATAACTTTATTTGTTTATTAGATATACACATTTAAAGTTTCAAATTTTTGAGTTTCTCATCATATCTCTTAAACTTCGTCTTACTTACTGCATACTTGGTTTCTTTGCACAAGCATTTATGTAATGAATTAGAACGACTTTTTGCAGAGTTAAGGGTTTCAATGCGTTTAACTAGATTAGAGATAAACTCACGAAGTTTGTCGTCTTCCGATTTTAAATCTACAACCTGAGAGGATAGAAGTCCTATACTCTCATTGAGTTCAGTAAACCTTGCATTTTGGGATTCGCAAAGTAATTTACACTGGTTAAGGGTTTCAATCTGAGTTTTTTGGTGCTCAGCCATAGTTTTGTTGAAAATATCTATGGTAAGCGAACTGGTTGATCTGGAATTAGACCGAGTAATAATTTGAGAGTCAGCATTTGGAAAGTTCAGTGCCATAACTGAACTTTAACAATGTCACTGATTAAGTTGTTCCTTAAAAAATTTGTGAATACCACCAAAGTTGCAGCTAATTGGTTTTTTATGACATTTCTGTCACAGTCACGAATTGTTTATTATCAATTATGACTACCAATAGATATACTTTCTGTATTGTTAGTTAGTGTATTTATAAACTTACAACAATGTGTTTTACTACCATTGATAAGACATGCTGTGTACCTGCGAATATCGATACCATAAAAAACCAATTAGCTACTCGTATTTGTATTCTCTTGTGTATTATATAAGTATATTAACACAAAAATTTGAAATTTTAAGTGTTTATATCTAATAAACGAATAAAGTTATATTAAAAATTCAAATGCCATTTTCTATTAAATTAAAAACCCAAAAATTTTATTAAATTCAAAATATGTGTTCTCTTTTAAAAAAAGTCAAGTTAATGTTTTTTAACCTTGAAGGGATGAAAAATATCATATTTTTACTACATATTATTGTAGTGTTTTTTGAATCAAACAATATTTTCCTTACCAAAAATTAAAAATTTTCAATAGTTACTGAGTAAACAAGTGTCTTATCCTTAATGAATCACTCTGTATAGTTGAATAGTACGAACAGAGGTTGAAAGAGTTTTAAAATAGAAAAAAAACAATACTAGTGAAAAAAGAATATACAAACGCTATAGAAAAAAATAAACTTAAAAGCGAGTAATGATCACTAGATAACGTTATCATATATATATAGAGGCTTTGTGCCATATTTTTCGTATATTGAGCGCCCGACGCTTTTTATTCACAATAATACTAGTATTTTTCATTCATTATTGTTTTAAGCTTATTTTAAAAATTCCTTTTAACTTTTTAGTTCGATGTCCTTTAAAATCGTGTTTTTTTAAACTATATTCATTATGAAGAAATTTGAAAATAGTGTAACCTGTTTAATAAAAAAATTAATGATTATAAAGTAGGGTCAAGTGGGGTAAATGGAAATGAAATTTACATATTTTACAACTTTTATTAGATTCATGTAGTAATAATTTTTTTAGTTTCAATGCGAAGCTGAGAAGGTATTGGTTTTACTAATATGTGTTTATTTATTTTTTTTTTTTGTGTCTGTTACCACTTTTTCTCAGCTCTCACCGAACCGATTTCTTTCAATGATACGTCAAAAGATCACAAATTGTATCTAGTCGAAGACATTACCCTCAAAAATAGAAAAAATTCCCTCGTTCCCCGTAAATGGGGGAAACCTCCAAAAAAATTACAAATTTAAAAATTTTCGAAATTTTTTTTACTTAAAAGTACCATAACTTTTTCAAAAATGAACATATCAATATAATCCTTTTTTATATAGATGCATAATATCAATACCTTTCATTTGGTATATTTTTTTCATAAATTTAACCTTTAACCTGCCCACAAGGAGGGATTTAAAAAGAAAAATTTTTCACAAAAAATTAACTTTTTCAACTTAACTTTTGAAAATGTTCCGGAAAGTATGACACTTTTATATATATCTTAAATTAAAGCTAATGTAATTTACTTTATTATGCAAAAAAAAAAATTTGGACTTTATTTGATCTTCACGGTGAAAATGGCTACCGAATGCTATTATTGTGTGAAAATTCTCGATTTTATTTTTTACATTTTTAACTTTATAATGCTATGACATATTGAAAAGTGTATGGATCAATACAATTTTTTTATGAGAAATATTATTTTTTAATAATCTCTTTTTCATTCGATATACTTTATCTTAATGTGGCTTTTGGAATAATTCACCAATTTTTTAAAATTAAACACTATCTAAATATTTGCATCGAAGCGTTTTTTTTTTTTGATAGTGATTTTAATCACTGTCAGATATCATTATACTTGATCCATCTATGCCACGTCACCACCGTGCCGCGACACCCCTGTGCTGGGTTTTTTTTAATTTTGGTTTATATAAAAACTATTGAACTATATACAATATGTGTCTAACATTTCAATCAAACGTTAAAATAGTTGATTATTTTAAGAAAAAAAAATAATATAAAATTGCATAAAAAATTTACATTTGCCCCAAATAGTATATTATGTATGGGGTAAATGAAAATAAAAGTATAGTTGATAATGTTATAAGCCTGGGGCAAATGAAAATTTGTTTGAATTACATAAATTATAATTAAATTAGTCCAATAATTAGGTAATCTTTATTATTTTAACATAATTTACAGTTTAATGCTTACTTACTATTTCATAAACTTTCAAAATATATTAACAGTCTTTTGTTTTCATATAATAGTGATAATAATAATTTAACATAAAAAATAACAATGTAAAGTAAAAATTATAAACAAACTAACAGCATTTTTAGTTTTTAAATACATCACATAAATTAATGTATGAATAAGTAGGTAACGTAGTGCCTAAACTGATTATTTTTCATCGACATTTATGTATCCAGTAAATGTGTATATCGTTTTTCTGTTTTTCTTATGTTCAGTTGGTATTGATAATATGGCAAGAATCATCTCTAGTGTAATATCTGACAAGTCATTTTCAACAATATAAAAATCAGTTCCAATTTCATTATTTTTTTTTAATCCTCGAACTAAAATATCCCCATCATCTTCATCTACACGTTTAATTAAACATACATACTTAAAATGTTGTTTCTTACGGTTCCCTCCAATAAAATCTATTAAAAGAAATACTTCAGGTTTTATTTGAGACCAAATTGATGTATTGTATAAAACTTCTTCAATACTTAAATCTAATGAATTGTCATTACAATCATCTTCTGATGAATGATAAACTACATCATCAATATTATCAATTGATTGTTCCAACACAATATTTTGTACATCTTTAGTAGCTTTCTTAGGTCTCCCAAGTTTACTAGGATATTTGATTAGCTTTTTCTTTGAGGTTGCTTCCTCCAATTATTTTAACACATTTTTATTTGTTAAAACTTCACCATACTTTGTTACTCTAAAACGAGGAACTCGGTCTTTTGTAACACAAATTGTATTGTTAGTTTTATATTGTATTAATTGAATTGAAAAAATAGATATTATATCTTTTGGGCTTACTGAGATATTATTACTTGATGTTGGAAAAATTTAGTCTATAAAAGTGTTTGACGTTGAAGGTTCTAATGAAATTTGATTTTCTACAACTGTTAATATGTTTTTTTTATATAATTACGTACTCTGAAGTTGAAAAAAAAATGATAAAGATCGTAATATTTCAAATTATATTAGTTATTAATATTTCCATTTACCCCAAAACCAAATTTCCATTTACCCCAATTGATTTTTATTTTGTATTTTACAAAAAATATATAATTCCATAGAAAAAGTGATATTAAACTAGTTTTAGGGCCGTATAGTAAATAAGTAAATATGAAATGACAATTTAGTTCAAACTGTACTGTTCTACTTATATTTTTGATGAAGATGCCCTTCTCAAAAGCCGTTNAATTCTCAAAAGCCGTCGAGCAGAAAATATAATCTAAAATAATCATAAACACTTTTTCGAGTGATAACAATTTATACATATCCTCAAATTTTCCATATTTTTATCATTGCACACTATTATACCTTATGTGTACTGTGATTATAATGATATCGAATTCTATAATCACTAATAATTTATTTTAAATAATATTTTTTTCCTTTTGTCCCAATTTCCATTTACCCCCCTTGACCCTACCTACAGAGTTATAATGAGCCAAAAGTAAGGTTTTAGTTATGATATAATAAAATAAATAAAATTAGGTGTGTTGATTAATTAATTTGAATTTTTGAGCATTTGAATAAATTTAATCATCTTACTTTAGGTTACTATAATTCAGTTTGTTTAATATTATTGGGGTCGTAGAGTGCGAGGGTTTAGATAATGACAATACAATCAAATAAAAGGGTTATGATGAATATTGAAATTTAATGTATGTATCAAATTTACAAACTTTGTTAAATCATTTGAATAGTCTCACGTTTCAAAGAGCACGAGTTTAGGTCTGCAACTATGAAACGTAATAAGAAAATTCGTAGGTACGATTTTTGGTCAAGCACTTCGAACGCATTTAATTATTCTCCTGACAAACCAGTTAATAAATTTAAAATAGATAGATACTGTTGAGGAGCTCTATGATAAATATAATATGAAATAAAAATAAAAATCTACTATATATTTACAGTTCAAGGCGATTGTGTTAAATCTTCAAATGTTAAGCAAAATATTACTAAATACAAGTTAATATAACAGCACAACACATAATATTAATATTATGTAGTACTATGTTATATATAATCAAAAATAATAAATTATTATGTAAATAATTAACTGCATATTTATTATTATTATTATTTTTATGTATGAATACACCCAAAAAGCAATTTTAGACTTATAAACAATACTGCTTCACATAAAAAACTTTTTGTAACTTTCAATGAAAATAAAAATGTTAGATATGTAATTAATAATTTCTTAATATTAATAGTAATAGTGGTATAGTAATATACTAATAGTAATATATTTAATTGTAGATGATAGTGTTAGTTTTATTGGTAGTAAGTAAAAAATTAATAAATTTAAGTCAATATTACAGCACAATACATAATATTTACACTGTGAAATATTATAATTATTTTAGAACAATAAATTGTTTTATTAAATTTTTAATTCTTGTATTCAACTCATTGCACATTAATTAATATAGGTATTATAATTGAATACACCCAAAAAGTGTTATCTCCAAACGTGACTAATAAAATTTAATTTTTTAAATTTGTGGGATTAATCATTTTATTAATTAGTTCTACCCAATAAATTTTACATTTAATTATCATACATAATGTTTCCAAAATCTATGTCCACACTATGCAGCGATGTCACTCTACTACCATTTTTTTTATATTAATTCTGCGTAATAACTTTTAAATTGAAATATCGTATTGAATTTCGTGAACCTGTAATGAACCGTCAAATTAACAAAAACTGGATGGCTAATGCTTACGTTGCACAAATTTTTCTTAAATATTTAAAAATGTTCAATATTAGTATTGTAATATTTTACTTTTTATCTTGTTACATATATTTAGATGAATGCGTTATTTGTGACAATGAAATTAAAAAGGAAGCGTATTTTTTACGTTACTGTCAACATTTCGCATGTAAACTATGTTTAGACGATTGGTTAAAAAACAAAATATCATGTCCGAGCTGCGGGACTCTAATCATTGACAAAACTAGTAATTTAAGCACATTATATACATAGTTTGTACCTAAAAATTACTTACAGCACTAAAAAAATGTACACTTGCTCAATGCTACCCTCGAAATATACCTTTGTTGCTCAATGATCTTTTATTAAATAAATAAAAAAAAAAATCTTGATTGGTAAATGGCCAAGCTATTTTGTAATTAAAATTTGTAGACTTTTAATTTATATAACAGATGTATAATTACATATACAATATACAATTATTAATTTCGTGAATTCTTAAATTTTAAGTGTATATACCTCTAAATGAACTTGCACATTTTAAAATTTTTGTAACATTCAATAAAAACTAATTAATAACCAAAAATCAATAAGTCAAATAAATATATTAGAATTATAAGTATCATTATATATTTATTTTTGTTTATAGAGAATTGTACAGGATTCATCCACATCATATTGCCTAGTCAAGGTAATACAATTAATAATTTCATATACTTTTAAATTTGAATACTTTTAGCGATATAAAATAAAAGACAAATGTACTATATTTAGGTGTAGGTGATGATGGTGATGTTTTAAATAATGATCAGAAAATTAATAACATTAAATAAAAAAAATATTTAAATATATTTTTTATTCTCCTTTTTAACTTTCTGCATATTCATTATAATTATTTTTATAATTGAATTCACCCAAAGTATTTAAAGGGGCATAATTTGATGAATAAAATTATAGAAAGAATTAATTTTTTAATTATCTTTCGACAAAGTTTCAGTCTTCATGAGTTAAACCTTAATAAACTGAATATATAACTTAAAAATAATTTGAGCTACATGTATTAAACTTAATGAATTATTTATGATTAAAAATTTAATTTTTAACTTGTTCTTTTTAAAATTTATGGAATATAAAATTGCAGAGTTGTTAAAATACGGTATTTTATTTTTTTGTTGTATAATATCGTATAATACACGTATAATACTGTATAATACCGTATAAATTATTGTAGCACCTTAAAATTTGGAAAAAAATAAACTTTAGAGTGATTATTTTTCATAAAACTCAATAAATAAATGTGTACTTACTGAAAAAGCCTTTAGCAAAATTGATGAAAACAAATGTTCAGGGAGTAATTAGTTAAAGTATTGAACTAAGATATTTCTCTATCCAGAATTCCTCTCTAGAGGATGATTTAGTATCAACTAAGTACCAACTATAGTCAATTTACAATCAGATACCACCCATGATGTTAAAGGTCTGAGAACTCTACTTTTTTAAACAAGTATAAATACACAATTGAAATTTTATCACATTAAAAACTTAAAATTTTTAATAACTTAATAAATAAAATAATAAAACTTACTTTTTCTTAAAAATAAAAAACCTATCCTTTAAATAAACTATTAAAAAATTAAAATATGGCATCTTACTATTAATCTTAAAATCTATAATTGTATTAACGTTTGTTACCTTAAAAAAAATAACTTAAGCACCTTATCGATTATAAATTTTAGTATCACAGAGTACTAAGAATTAATTTTTATAAAGTATGAAATATTTTATAATCTTAATTTGTATATGTCATGACATCATCAAATAGTTCATCTGTTTCATTCTCGTTTTTGCTTTGATAGACGACCCATCTTAGTTCGTAATTTGCAAATAATACTTTAAACTTAAACAATTTAAATCACAAAACAAAATACTTTTACCACAGAATAGATTCACCTGTTCTGTGCTTTTATTTTCTTCCATTTGAACTGACATGCGTTGGCGCTTAAAATGTGACAAGATTATTGTGTGGTAATACTAAAAACATACTGAGACCACGGTTATACCGTACACAAGTCCATTGCTTTTGTTTGTTATGATAACCATGTTTTCCTGGCGGATCTGACAACTAATTATGTTTTAAAAATATATCTGTTAATCTACAATAATAATCACGATTATAGATAGATTTAAATCTAATAATGCAATCCAACTATAACATTAATTACAATTGCGTACATCAATTAAAATAAAATCCAAAAGAATATAAATATTGATAAAGCTTTTTTTTTTTTTTGATACAGCTGGTATAAAATAATTTTATACGCATGTATCATACTCTGTATCATACCGTATAATACACATGTATAATACCGACTCACATCTCTATAAAATTGTATTTATTTGGGCCTCAAATTGTTTATTTTTAAAAGTTTGGAGACGTATTTTACAACCCTTCTTATATGCTCACTCATATTTTACTATAGTCCCATACATTTACACCTTGTATAATTTTGAAGAATGTGAATAATCCGTACCATCTGGTTATCTGAATAGTCTAGATATTGAAGTTCAATAACGGCCAAATATTCTGCGGATCTGTATGTTCATAATGTTTGTTACTAATTATCTTTTTCCTTGGCATTGAATCTATGAAAAAAAATTCTATGATATGGCTAATATTTTATTCGGGTCACAGCGCGAGTACTGCTATTGTTATCACTAGATATTTTTTGGCCTCGCTCCTCCTCTCGACATGGTATAAAATTATTGATAAATTCTGGAAAAAAAATAATATATATTTAATTTCATATATATTTTTTTGTGGTTTCTTTTTGTTCAATATTTTTCTTAATATACATTGTATTAATCTTGAAATGTTTTTTATGTTCATCCATTATACCTTGTAGGGTGTCGGATTTTAGCTTCGATGCGAAGCTGAGGAGGTATTAATTTTGTGTTTGTTACCATTTTTTCTCACCAAACTGAATTCTCTCATCGATACTTCAAAAGATCACAAATTGTATCTAGTCGAAGATTTACCCTCAAATATTGAAAAAAATTCCCTCGTTTCCCGTAAATGGAGGAAATCTCCGAAAAAATTTAAAAATTTATAATTTTCGACATTTTTTAAATTTTTTTACTTAAAATTACCATAACTTTTTTAAAATTGACAAATTCGATATAATTTTTTTATAGATACATGAGGTATTTGCCTATCATTTGATATTTTTTTTTTTATATTTTTGACCCTTTACCAGCTCACAGGGGGGATTCAAAATTAAAACTTTTTCACAAAAAATTTACTTTTTCAACTTAACTTTTGAAAGTTTCCGGAAAATCTGACACTTTTATATATATCTTAAATTAAAGCTAATGTAATATACTTTATTATAATAAAAAAAAATTTTGGACTTCATTTTGTCTTCACAGTGAAAACGGACATCAAAGTTAATAAAAAAATATAAAAATACGATTTTTGTAAAAAAATTCATTTTATATTTTAATTTTATAAAGCTTTTTGAAAAATGTATGGATCATTATATTTTTTTTAAGATAAGTACTATTTATATTTATATAGTATTATTATATATATATATATATATATAAATATACTTATTTATTCATATACTACACTTATAAATCATAAAACTTGTAATCAGAATATAAAAAAGGAAATAGGAGATCATATAGCTTTTGGAATAATCAATCAATTTTCAAAATTAAACACTATCTACAGATTTGCATCAAAGTGGTTTTTATGGTAGTGATTTTAATCACTTTCAAATATCATCTATATTGGACCCAACTATGCCACGTCCCCACTGTACTTTGATATTTTTACTTAGAATTACCATAACTTTTTAAAAATGACCGAATCACTATAATTTTTTTTAATAGATATATTAGATGTTTACCTATCATTTGGTATATATATTTTTAACCATACCTTTTACCTACCCACAGGGGAAATTCAAAATGATAATTTTTTTTTCGAAAAATTAATTTTCTACTTAATTTTTGAAAATGTTCCGGAAATACTGGCAATATATTTATATTGATTTATGTATATCTTAAATTAAAGCATATGTAATATTTTTTAATATTGAAAAAAAAAATGTGGAACTTTAATTTCTCTTCAAGCTGAAATTGGCTACTGAATGCTATTTTTCTGTTAAAATTCTAGATTTTATATTTTTAAATTTGTATTTCTTTAACTTTTTGAAAAATCTATAGATTAATACAGTTTTTTATGATAAATACTATTTATATACCTCTTTCATTTGACATACTTTTTTTTTAAATCAGACCATTTCATTTTATACAGGAGTGGTCCAAAAATTAAAATTATGTATTGAAAAAAGAACATTTTTAACTTAATTTTTGGAAATCATCCAGAAATACTGACACATATTTATATAGAGGGTGATTTTTTTATCATAATTCACTCAATTACTTACAGAATAAATATAATTTAAACAATTTTTTTTTTGGTTATCTTTAGTTACACATTATTCTTGAATTATTAACTATGTAATACTTTTTAAGTTCATCCCTTATGCCTTGTAAGGGGGTCAAATTTGTTTTTTTAAATGGTAACACATATTTTGAATTTAATAAAATGATTGAGTTTTTCATTTAACAGTAAATGGCATTGAATTTTTAATATAACTTTATTTGTTTATAAGATATAAACATTTAAAGTTTCAAATTTTTGAGTTTATTTACATATATAATACACGAGGGATTAAAAATACCTAATTAAATAGCTAATTGGTTTCTGTATTGTCAGTTAGTGTATTTATAAATTCACAACAATGTGCCTTACTATCATTGATAAGAAATTCTGTGTACCTGCGAATATCGATAACATAAAAAACCGATTATCTACTTGTATTTGTAATCCCTCGTGTATTATATATATTTATTAACTCAAAAATTTGAAACTTTAAATGTGTATATCTAATAAACAAATAAGTTATACTAAAAATTCAAATGCCATTAACTATTAAATTAAAAACTCAAACATTTTATTAAATTCAAAATATGTGTTACCATTTAAAAAAACAAATTTGACCCCCTTACAAGGCATAAGGGATGAACTTAAAAAGTATTACATAGTTAATAATTCAAGAATAATGTGTAACTAAAGATAACCAAAAAAAAAATTGTTTAAATTATATTTATTCTGTAAGTAATTGAGTGAATTATGATAAAAAAATCACCCTCTATATAAATATGTGTCAGTATTTCTGGATGANAACGCTGTATATTTATATAAAAATAATTATTCATAAATTACACTTATAAATCATAAAACTTGTAATCAAGATATAAATATGGAAACAGAAGATCATGTAGCTTTTGAAATAATTCACCAATTTTTTTAAATTATCTACACAATAAACATTATCTACAGATTTGCATGGAAGCGTTTTTTTAAATTTTTTCTATTTTTGCCTTTTTAAATTACTACATATGAATATATACAAAATATGATGAGTAGATTTTTAGTACTCTACACTAACTAATTTCGTTTAACTTTTCAATTTGAATACATTAAACGATATATAATAAAAAACTAATTATTTATGTTTAGAAGAACCTAATCGTCGTCGTCCTTCAAATCGTAAAAATTAAATTACTAAAATTAAGTTATTTTCGAATAAAAATATTATTTTATCAGAAATGTCTCTTATTAGGATATTGATAATGTTTATAAATTGGATTTAAAATTGATAATTTCGTTGAATACTCCAATTTGAATATAATGATATACTAAAAAACTAATCATCTATGTTTATGGTGAACGTGATCCTCGTGGTCCTTCAATTATTAAGAAATAAATTACCAACATTAAGTTATTTGCTAGTAAAAAGATTATTTTATCAGAAATGTCTCTTATAAAGATAATGATAATGTTAATAATTTAGATTTAAAATTGATAATTTCATTAATTTTTTCAATTTGAATACATTAAACGATATATAATAAAAAACTAATCATTTATGTTTAGAAGAACCTAATCGTCGTCGTCCTTCAAATCATAAAAATTAAATTACTAAAATTAAGTTATTTTCGAATAAAAATATTATTTTATCAGAAATGTCTCTTATTAGGATATTGATAATGTTTATAAATTGGATTTAAAATTGATAATTTCGTTGAATACTCCAATTTGAATATAATGATATACTAAAAAACTAATCATCTATGTTTATGGTGAACGTGATCCTCGTGGTCCTTCTATTATTATGAAATAAATTACCTTTTACTTTTACTTTTTAGCAATTTAAAATAATAATGAAAATTTACTAGAATTATTTAGATGGTGGTGATGGTGGTAATAGTAAGTAAAAATACTAATATTAAGTTAAATGTGTATTAATAGTAAAATTTTTTAATTATATCAGTTATTAAAATATTAATAACAATTTTAATATTATGATAGTATTTTACTTTTTAAAGATTAAACCCATTTGTTTCTCTTTATTATATGAACGTAAATTTTTAAAAATATATCTCAACTTATAGAAGCCATATAATCTTCTATTCAGAGAATAAATCAGCAATAATGTATACAGTTATCCATAATTATTTAAGTTATTTATCCATATTAATTATCTGCCATTGAAACACACATATTCTTAGAAAAGAAATAAAGGTAGAACGATTTTCCATAAAGTGACTATTATTATTTTATTGCTAATTGAACTTTAATATTCATAATTACTACCAGGTTAAAGTATCTCGTGTTTTTCGTTTTCTAAATAATTATCGTTTTTTATTTGACCAACTTCTCACAAAAACCATTCAAATGTAAATTAAAAACACATGGGTGAATTAAAATATTATCATTAATTATTAAAATCGATTTAGTTGTAATTTAACTGTGACAATAATTAAAATTATATTTTTTAATTCATAATTTTATTTAAAGATAATTGATGATTGAGGATCAATTTTTCAAAATTTTCTGCTTGATACTAAAAAAATAATTCAAATTTTATTATTAGACAAATGACATAAATGATCCAATTAGAAGTATGTTTGTCAACAAAAGAATACAAAATTCTAATATTGATTAATTAATTTAAATTACCATTTACTGTTTTATTAATTAAATAATTTACTAATTTAATTATAAAAATTATAAAATTTTGTTTTGTTTATATTTCTAATAAATTTTTTATAGATCTCCTAATATTTTATGTTTCACATCTATGATAGCATCATAATATCTTGATGGTCTAAGGTCTACATTATATATTACTGTACCAGAATATAATATGAACCATTTATTATTTAATATTAAATAATTGTTTTCACAAATTAAGTTAAATAATTATTGTTACTATTATAAAATTATCTCAATAAATTATTCTGTAAAGTTATCGTAAATATTTTTACTGGTATTTGGATTAATAATTCTATTTTTCATTTAATAAATAATATAATCATCAATAATAAAATAATTATCATTAAGATGCTCACGATTTTTCAAGGAGGGAATTCATAACAAAAGATTTACTACTTCTACTAAATTGTATTTTTAAATTTCATTATTTTCATAATGAAGTTTTGATCCTTATCCTCCTCTCCAAATACAAAATTAAAATTCATTAAAGACCTTTAAAACATCATTAAATATTTAGTTAAAACTAGCAAAGTTAGATAAAATTAGCGATACCATTTTACTATATTATAAAATATGGAAAATTTTCTGATGCTATTAATTACTTAATACGTTTCGATTTAAATTTTTTATGAATCTCAGCCTTGACTATTGGCAAATTATTCTCAAAGCTCTGTAAATTTATTTTAAAATTTTACGAGCGTTTGAAATTTTGAAGTAAAACATAAAATGTCAATGTTTTGTAACTTACGCATTGAAATTCACATAAGAGCTCCATAACGACAATATGAAAATCTTCTTCTTCTTTTTCCTCGCCTTAATCCCAACTATTTAAGATCGACCACCCTTATCCTAAACTTCCACTTGACACGATCTCTCTATTCTCTACGCTCACGTCAGCTGTCCTCAAATCGCATTCAATAATATCTCTCCATTTCTTTTTCGGTCTTCCTCTACCTTGTCTTCCTTTAAAATTCATTTCCACAATTGTTCTTACGGCTTCCGATTCTTCTCTCCTCATAACATGACTTAACAATCTAAGTCTATTTTCTCTCATCTTATCTCATCTACGACAATATGAACATATTTTTCAAAATTATGTATATAAATTCTAGTAATTCAATTGTGTTTACATAATAAACATGTATTGTAATATTTACGGAGAAATTATAATAAGTTGTAAGTTGTTATATACAAGGTGATTATTTTTATATTAGCCACTCTATATCTCTTAATATAATTATAATAAAAAAACTATGTATGATATTTTTTAATTATATATAAACTTGGACTTATTAAGTATTAAGTTTTTTTTTATTTGAACTATATACTTTATAAGGGTGTCAACATTATTTTTCATAGGATTATATACATATTTAACTAGATAATAAAATAAAAAAGTTGTATTTAAGAAGTTATTAACATTTTAAAATAAAGAGTGGACAAAGACTGTGACACAATAATGTTAAAAATAACAACCCACTCTTAATCTCCACTCTATATTATAAAGTAGTTATAAATTTTCGGAATAATCAGTCGAAAATTGTCATCAATCATACATTTTCTTTATTAAATCATTTTTTAATTTATAAGCTAGTTAAATATGTATGTTTTCATTTCAAAGGTAAAGTTGTCACTCATAAAAAGTATGAAGGATGAATTTCAAAAATAATATAAACAAGACATAACATAAGTTTTATTTTAACATATGATTGAAGCTCGGAGTATTTCTGGAACATTATTAAATTTAACTTGAAAAAACGAATTTTTTGTGTAAAATTTTCCATTTTGAATCCTTACTATGAACAGTTTTAGGGTCAGAATTTCAAAAAATGTGTACTAAATGAAAGGAAATTATCTATTTATATTCCTTCATTTTTCAAAAATGTATGGCAGTTTTAAGAAAAAAAAGTTAAAAATATTGAAATTTATCGATTTATAAATTTTTAATTCTTTAGGAAATTTCCACCATTTACGGAAAATTTTATAATTTTTGAGGGTAATATCTTTAACTAGATACAATTTGTAATCTTTTGACATATCGTTGAGAAAAATCGGTTCGGTGAGAAAAAGTGGTAACAGACACATACAAAAAAACGCATCATAGTAAAATACCTTCTCAATTTTGCATCGAAGCTAAAAACTGCTAAACAAGGTATAATTAAGATATAAGAGTTGATGTTACTTTTGGTATAATCCACCAATTTCTTCAACTTAAAAACTATTTACAGATTTGCATCGAAGAGTTTCTTATGATAGTAATTCGAATCACTTCACGTCAGTTATCACCTATACTTTTCTCAGCAATGCCATAATCTCTACACAACGGTTTTTTAATCATCTTTATATCTTATAAGGTGTTAATATTAATTTCAATATAAAATATTGTATACTTTAAATAAAATTAAAAATAACCAAGTGACAAATAGGTTTGTTAATTCAGAGAAATCTATTGTTAGATTGATAAGATTGATTGGCCTGGTAACAAATAATTTGTCAACCTGACCAAATTATTTAATTGGGATGACAATTCAACTTTTTGAGTTAACAATAGTTGCATGATCAGATTGATAAAATATGTGTCACTATGATGGAAATACCCAAACAACAATAATATTTAGGCTGGTTTGACAATAGTTATTGCTAGCTGTTGTAGTAAGTAGCTGAATAACGTCGATTTTTAAATTCTCAAGCAATACTGTATAGTAACTATAAAATTGTCGGCTCGTCCATTATATTTGTTGATTTTACCTTAGTTTATTTCAGTGTATTAATTGTCTAATAATGAATACATATTCTTATTTTATATGCTATTAATAACTAAAAATTGAGGACCCCACAAGTATCTGCACGTCTTTTAGAGTACAGTGATTATTGATATTTATATGATTTTTACACATTAATTAATTTTTATAATCAAATTTACACGATTTATACTTTGGAGAGCTTTGTATTTTCAAAATATTATCTATTATACTTTTGGACTTTTTTTTATATTCAATATTATAACTATATTTTTGGTAAATACATTTAGATCGTTCTGTATTTCAAATTTATACTTTTGGTGAACTCTGTATGTACAAATCTATATGATTTATACTCAAATACAAATTAAAATTATGAAATAGTTTTTACTTTAAAAATGAATTCTTAGTACTCTATGATGCTGAAATTGATAAGCGTTAAGGTTTGAGATATTATATTTTAAGGGAAAAAATGTTAATACAACTTTAGATTTTAAGATTATTATAAGATGATACATTTTTAAATGATTAATAGTTTAATTATTGTTTATTTGATTATAGTCTTAAGAATTAAAAACGTAAAAATATAATGTTAATAATATTTTTGTCGGAACGGAACATATAAATTTTAAAACAATATATGATTTTAGCCATCCATCTCGCTCTGTGAAGTGCTCCTGGTGGATGGATTTTAATTTTTTCATTCTCTTTTCCGATGAATAGCAAACAATGTTCCAATAACTCTTTATAGTCATCCCGAGGATGATTTAAATTTAATTTATTTTCACAAAATTTAGAAATTATATCTATATCTGATACTAATATATTTATCATAACATCATCTATCAACATATTACAGTATAGTTTTTTGTCTATATTTTCCCAGCTATTAGAAAATCTTTTGAATAGGGCTATGTCTGGGCCAGTTGATGGAGGCATTAATTTATCAAAAACTCTACTAATTATTATTTCATGTATGTGGTGCCTATAAGAAAAACTCAATAATTCCTTACCTAATAGTTTTTCGATTAAAATACATGCACCATTTAGTTTTCCAGTGTTGGAGGCAGTAGTGTCAAAACACATCATATTTGTTTTATTAACCAAATTCCAATCAACCAAAAGCTTAATAACAGCATCAGCTTGCGATTGGCCTGTAGAATTTAAAAGTTTAGGCACACCCAAAAGTTTAGTTTTGCCATCACCAGATACTAATACCGCTAAACATTCAGTGCAATTTTTTTTGTTTTGAGACGGCAACATTTTACCGTCCCAGTGAACCATTAAAGCAGTGTTTGGTTTAAAATATTTTATTATTTCATTATTTATAATTTTTCTATTAAAATTGCGAGCTCTTCGAATTGAATCTTTAATTATGGAATAATCTTTAATATTTTTATCACATGAAGTTAAAGCAGACGCCAAAATATACGTGGCTTTTCGACTAGATACTAGTTGTGGGATGATCAAGATGATATTTAAAATCTGACAGACTAGTATCTTTAGTGTTTATGTTCGATCGCGTAGTTCTAGCTATTTTTAATTCTGGACTTGTGGTGCTAGAACATCCAGGAGTTAGTTGAGGAATATGAAATTCTTTATTTGAGTCGTTGGATTGAAAAATATTACTATACGAAATGTCAAAAATATCATTTAATGAATCCAAAAACTTAATTTCTTTATTATTTTGTGAAATAGTATTTCTATTTTGATTCTTTTTTAAATTTATCCATTGCGTATATAATAATTTTATTTTTGAAATTATATTACACTTGAGCTTAATAGGAAATTCGGTTTTCGACCACACCTGAATTATATGTTTAGAACAATCAATAGCAGTGTCTGCTATTGTTTTCTTCTCGACATTATGCAAATAAATGAAATAACTGAGGACATTGCGTTTTGTAGGTAGTTGTTTACCGAGCATATATTTTTGAGGAGCAATATTTAGACGATGAGATTTTGTTATACTAACCATTATAAACTAAAATACGAATTAATAAAAATCGTAATGAGTAAAAGAGTAATAAAATTATTTATTATTGTAAAAATATTTTTTTATTTGCAATTAAAACTAAAATAAAAAGTAATGGTGGATTTATTTAGAAAAATTAATATGAAATGTATGAATTCAATTACAAATTGTATTGTAATGGTGATAATTCAAAGTAAATTTATTTAACTTATATTATAATAAAAATATATATGAGCTATTTTTCTTACCCTTTAATTAATAACCACGAGAAAAAAATTCATTTATTAAATAGAATTTAACTAAAAATTAATTTAAAAAATCGAATTAAATGTATATAGGATAATAACTTTTAGGAAAAGTTTGTTGTGTACAAATAATAAATATTAGTCGGATACCATCAAATAGATGTGACTGTATAACAATCAGTACAAACCCATACAAGAAAAGTACTGGATATAAATATAATGCCAAAACATTGTTTATGGTATCTTATCGTCATGATCGCGATTAATTTCATAATTAAACTTGGTTTTGT